GATAGTGCATTTTCAGATGGTATAAGATGGTGGAAGCAGTCATTGCTTTAGAGTGTCACTGGCCAATTTCTCCGTCTTTGAAGCAAGCAGAAGTGAAGTTGGTTGTAGGGTAGGAGACTCAAAGCAGTGGTGGGGTGGAGGAGCGCTCTCACATATAAAAGAGATTAAAGGTCCAAAGTGCTGGAGCCTGATATGATGTAAAATGTATGCTAAGGTAAAGCAATGGGAAATGTATCACTGAAAGAAGTGATGGCAAATCTATGACACGCTATTATGGGTGGCATGCATTCACCAACCTCTGACAACTATTCTTGAAAGCACGACCCATTCTTGTGCAATTTTTGGAAGCTGTGGACGCCGCATGAGAATGCGGTATGCTCTTGTGAGGCCTCCAAAAATTGAGTGAGAATGGTGTATACACTTTTACATGCTTTTCAAAGGCAGCAGGAGCCATGGAAGTGTATTCTCTGAAGCTTCTTCAAGAACTAAGGCCTCATATGACCCACAGCAGCCTCAGGGCCTGTTAAGAGAGCATCGCCTGAAGGTAAATGGCTGTCAGGTGGTGCTCCATTCAAAATCCAAGAAAGACACTCTTAAGACTCCATTGTTATAGAGAAAAGGAACTTCTACTGGAAATCAAGTGATAGCGTCAAAGGAATTCTAGATCTGAGGATTTACACACGAAAAACACATTTACAAAGTGATGGCAACGTTTCCACCCACCATAGTTCTAACGCCTCATCCAATCAAAGATGTGTATAATGTCATGTGGGACATCTTCAGGTGGTGATGCAGACATCTGGCCTAGTTTGATAAAGAGCTACAGTTGCGCAGTAAGCCAGTAGGCATAAACAATAAAGTTTATACAAGATATACAGTTCATTCTCTAAAATCTTCAGCACATTTCCCACCCAAACAAAGCCCAATTATTTCACCCTCCCCCCATTACTATGGCAGCCGAAAGAAGAGACAGAAAGGAGTCTTGAAGGCTGACATAGGCATGTGGCAGATCCAGGAAAAGTCCGGGGCCATTGCACTATTTCCTAAGGCTTGTGAACTTTGGGGAATGATGTGAAGTGACGATTTTCGCTGGCAGGAGTGGTGCTAGGGTTGAGGTTGAGCTCAGATCTCTACTTCTGGCCAGCAGCACTGCCAGTGAGTGCCGCTGTTCAGGGTCATGTAGATAGAGAAGAGAATATTCTTCCTGTTTCTTTGTGGGGAGGCGACACACCACCAGACTCAAGTGAGGCACTTTCTAAATGTTTGACATACTCAGCTCAAAAGGTTTGCCATCACTGTTTCCAAGAGTTTTATTTTCATTCATTGAGAGCTATTCTTGGTTCTTGTGATTCTTTTCAGACTTAATCTTGAATATATCCAAAGAGGCAGTCCCTTAAATCCAGGGTTGGGCTGCTGGGGGTTCGCAGGGGTTCGGGAGAGCCCCTAGCTAAGGTTCTGTGCAGTTTGGGGAACCCCCAAATCCCACTCCTGGCTGGCCCTGCCCCTCCCCTCCCAGGAGTCCCCATAGGGCCTGTTTTGGATGCAGGTAAGTGCTGGGCGTGCGTGGAGGCTCGGAGAGGGTGAAAAATAGGCCCGTTTCTGGCTTCCAGAGCCCAGGCAGGCCATTTTTGCCCTCCGGAGCCAGGGAGGGCAAAAATGCCCCACCTCCCTGTGGTGCAGGAGGCCGACTAGGCCACACCCACATAGCAAACAGGCAGAGAACCCTTTGCTAAAACTTTTGAAGCCCACCACTGCTTAAATCCAAGGTTCAAATATAGTCCCAACCTCTCAGTCTAATGAAGACCACTGATTCTAGGAGGGAAAATGCAGGAAGGCTATTTCAGGTGATTTGGAGTGAACAAAAACACGTAATTTCTCAAAGACAAGAGATGGAAGCCCAGACTAATTAAAAGTTTCTTGGAGTTCTGGTTCTCTGGCAGAACTCCCCCATATGAGACAAAATCCTTGGTGTGCAATTTCCTGCCTAGAGCCTGCAACACTGTTTTCATATGACCCTTTCCCTGTTATTTAGGAAGAGCATAGCCATGGGTCATACGCCCAAGGGCATCACTTAGGGACCAGGCAACCGGCTGCCCTTTCTGATCTAGGAGGCAAGCATTTGGGAAGACCTCAATCAGGCTCCTGAGGTAGCGCAGGCTCCGATCATTGCTTGCAAAAGCCCAGGTGTCATTGACCAGAGGTGCATCAGATGGGCTGAGTGTCCCCAGGTGGAGGGGCTCACTTCTGAGCCTGAAAGGAAAGAGAAAGCAATAATGAAGGTGGAACAAAAACCATACTGGAAAAATCTTAGCTCACACCCAGCAAAACAAAGAGTCTAACTACAATAGATATTTCCAGAGAAACCATAATCTCAGAGTTATCCAGTATTTGAAATAGACATATCTCATTTGTTCTGAAATTATCAATAGACTAACAGTCTCTTGAAAGTGCAGCAATCTATTTGGGATCCTGCTTTTTGTTTAAATCATCACATCCTTTACGTAATTGCTTTTGGAGAAACCAATGGAGCAGTTGTATTCAGTGAATTCTTCCAAGTCTAACCCTGGCTCTCTATTCATATTGTCCATTCCACATCTTCCAAGTTGATAGAGAATGAGAAATTCTCCGCTATAACCACTGGGGCTGATATGTAAACATGTCTCTCTCTTTTTTTATTTTTTACAAATAGGAGAAACAACATCTTACTCTTGTGTATCTTAACTTGGATGTTTCTAAGGCTTTTAACTGGTTTTACTCTTTTTTATTGTTTCAAAATGTTTTTTTACATTTTCAATTGTAATATATTTTATAAACCGTAAGCCGCCCAAATTCATTGACTAAGATGCGTGGCCACAGAAAGTTAACAAATAAATGAAATAAAACATACTCCTAGATTTCTACAGAGGATATGATTAGTTATAAAACTTTCAGAAGTCCTTAATTTCATTATTGAATTCCAGATAATTGCATGGAATTGAATCCACTTAATAGACCCCCAAAACAGTTCCTTTAGAAAGAGGGTACGATCACTCACTGGTTATGACAAAACATGGCTGCATCAGGGTGCAGCACTGCCTGGTAGAAATAGGGCTCCATGTGGACACGTCGAGCCTCTGCCATGTCTTTCACAGCCTGATAGAGCCCATCCTGGAGACCTGCATGGAATGGTAGTATCACAGGATACCAACCTGAGGTTCAGACTGAAACCTTATTTTGTCTCTGTGCCTAATACCCTGCAGTTGATGCCACGGAGAAATTCTCAGTCATGGGCAAATGGCATTGATGGCTGGAATTTCTCCTCTTTGCCTAGATTTATAGGGAATGAAGGGCCACTACTCTAGGATACCAGGACAAATGTCATCCATCATGACAAAGCCTGGAATGAATTATCTGGCACAAATATAAAATAACAGAATGTAAGGATTTTTCAAGATACAGAACTTCTCCTGAGTTTAAAGGCCAAATGGCAGTTTTGCAGGTTCCTCTGAGGGCTTCATGTATCATTTTTTTTCCTTTTGTGCTCCAATGAGAAAAAAAAAAGACCAATAGAAAAGAACGTTTGTAGCTTAGCATTCAGTTGTGCAGTCCTTGGTGCTCTCTGAGCTTGGTAGTTTTCTTGCAAAGGTTTCCTTATGCACTGATGATATTTCTTAGCTTGGTAATGAAATGTCTGCAAGAAAACCATCAAACTCAGAGAACATCAAAGATGCACCCCCCGCCCAACTGATTGGATCTTTCATAAAGCAATGTGACTGATTCTTCGATTAATACTTGAATGATTGTTCCATAGAAGTGGAGTTTATATTTATTTTTGCAAATAAAGCAAAAAGAGAATTTGATTACTTTCTTAGAGATTTAATCTGTCCATGAACTATTAGTCGACAAGAACTATATACTGCAATGATACTGCTTGCATAGATAACATTAAGCTAATTGGATCTTACAATTCACAAGATTCCCTGACATGTTAATCAAACTATAAAGAATGTAGAACTTCTTCCTTTTGTGATTCTCCTATTTTAAACATTAATTGCAAAGTTAATCTCACTTTGTGTTTATTGTAAATTCCGGGCTATTTCCTAACACATATTTATTTTATTTTATATTTATTTTATTTTTGTGTGTTGTGTGTTGTTTTTGTGTGTGTGTGTGTCTGTGTCTTATATATAAGCAACCCCAAAGATCACTCTGGGCACCCTACACAAATACAAAAAAGGAAGAAGAAACACTCCATCTTACCCTCAACAAAACTAAGGTAACCTAAACAGGGCTTCACGACTACCCTTTTCCTAACAGTTGGGGGAACAACCAGGTTTTTGGCACTTTCCAAAATCTCCTAAGGGTGGAAAAGAAATTGCCAGAGCCCAGGCCTTGCCTTGCAGCTGGAAGGCTTTGTCCCAGTCTATGGCATCTTTGTTTTCCAGGAGGGTTCTGCAGGCATCTTCCTCCCGAT